TCTCGAATACCTTCCCAGGGAGCAGGAGGTTCGGGATCCTAATGATTTTTAACAACAATAAAATATGATTTAATATCATAAATAAAATGACATTTCGCAACAACCATAAAATAATTAAAATTGAGCTATTATTGTTTTCATGGTACGCAAATATAATTTTAATACGTTAAAATAATTTTGAAATATTTTTAAACAAAGATACAATAAATATAAATAAAAATATTAAAAATTATTTGAACTCGATAAATAAATTACCTTAAACCTCAACTCGCCTACTGGTGGAGCAGCAAAAGGTATGCCTTTGAAAGAAAGATAATGAAAACCAAGGACATTTTCTTCAAAAATTCCTTGCAATTTTCCTTGTTTCACGGTCACAATCGGTCTATCCATAATCAAACAAAAACTATCTACTTCATATATAGAATATTATACACTGTTATAGGTTCGTTCTGTTCTATAGCGATACTGCTATCTTTGAACCGACTATCTGTCTTATATATTCAACTTTGATAATGACGTAGATAATGACGTAGGAATGATAAGCTATAAATGTTTGTACTTCTAAAATATATTTATATTTACATGCTACATATACTCGTAACGTATTAATAGTTAAAACGTACAAACTAACAAACTGTTCAAATTTCTAAAATGTTATCTAGATCTTATAACTATGATTTTAAAAATGTTTTAACAATTATATTGTGATACTTATATCTCTTTAATCAATGTTCATAGTCCAATGTTATATATGTATATATATATGTATAAGATCGTTTTACATCTGGTTATAATATAAGCGGTCTTAAGATTCCATGCAATCAATGCAATGACGTAAGCGTTTCAAGATGATATGATGAATAAGACGAGTATAATATCTTAAGATGAATATATAAGATTGGACTATAAATAGGACTATAAATGCCTACTGGCTTTTGAGTTGACGAATATGTTATCTTACATTTTAAACAATGTTTGTTTTTTTTTAAATTATCGTTAATAGTTTATCATACTTTTTATTAAAGATCCATTATTATATCTGCATATACATATGTATATATTGCTATGTATCTAAATTTAACAAATAATTAAAAATAAATATATTAATCTTATTAATTACGTTATATATTATTATATTTTACGTACTGCTGATGATATAGCAGATTGATCAACAAATATATAAAACTAGATACATATATGTATATATGTATGTGTATATATATATATATATACATATATATATCTGTATATATATATATATATATATATAGAAAATGTATCCTCTTACAGAGAGAGAGTAAGAGAGAGAGAATTTTTGCATATATATTTATTACTAAACATTTATTACATTGCACAATTAAATTGCAATTTTTTCAGATATAATGTAATGAATTTTTGGTATAATTCGCAATATTGGATGTTTTGACTGGATTTAATGATTTCTGAAGTGACCATCCACATTGACTCGTCGACATAGATAACAGCTCAGCTACTTTTTGAGCGTTCTGTTTTCCTTCCAAGGATGATTTCTTAATCTATGATATTACAAAATAATCAATTATTATTATAGTAATTTTATCATATGCATATTACTAACTTTTATTTAAGAGAATATTTCAATGAAAAAAATTTCAAAAAAGGGAAAAGCAAAAAGGAAAAGACAACTCTTTGAAAATGAATGCAAATAATATTATATATTTTTTCGCAATTATCATTCCTATAAACTTTAATCACATGGTTCAATCAAATGTTACCTATTACCTTTGTATTAGTATTTTAGATCTAGAATGAGTAATATTATTTATTTATATATATTTATTTAAGAAAAAAATTAATATCTGAAGAAATTCTTTCTTTTCACGATATATGCAAATCATGATAATTTCATATTATATTTACTAACTTCGTCAAACTTTCTTCTGACTTTATATCCTCTGTATGTAGCTTGTATCATAGTGGCCGCTTCTTCTTCAGATTTAGCTGAATCCCCATGATCTTCCATACATCTTGATTTTTTCATCACTTTCTGTTGTTTCTTGATGGGAAATATAATATTTTGTTCCCAGTGCTTGCGGTTGTAAACATTTCTTTCTTGTCGGTCTTCATACTTGGATTTATCAGTAACCTATTATAAATATACTGTTTCTTTATATATAAAAATAAAGTAGATATACATATTATATATTGTATATACATGTTTACCATTATATCATTTTAAAATTTTCAAGTAAAAAAGATAAAATTCTAATCTTTCTCTTTTTCGTTTTCTATATTTTTTTCATTATTCCTTAATTTTTTTATATTTCTTATCTATCTCTTATAAGAGCCAAAAAAACATTTATACCTCACGATGATGATGTTCGTACATACATTTCGCATTTTTAAAAAGATCTAAAGATCGTGGTTCACCTGCCTCGCAATATTTCATATCATGAATGATAGATTTATTGTTTCTATTTCCGTCGTACTGTGCTTTGTTCTATAAAATATAGCATTAGCCCACTGTGTAGACGAACTTAATCATAAATTACTATGATAGAATTCTTTAGCTTTATAATTTAATATTAAATTCTAGTAGTGAAGCTCACCGCTTTTACATTATTACTTCTGCTCATATTACTAAGACAATCGGTCAAGATTTCAGGCGACATTACCATGCCCGATGAAGTTGTAATTTTTGATACATATTTTTTCGGTTCTCTAGTTTGCATTGTATATTGTTCTAAAAATAAGCACAGACATAAATTAAATATGTCTTGATAGAAGAATCAAGTAGTATCATATAAATTTATACAAATTATCAAATTTTTAAAAGGAGATTACTCTAAAAATGTATAGAAATATAAAAAATTATCTGCAATTACAATATGTATTTACTGTTATCAATTATAAATTTTATAGTGATGGATATTATCAATCACTTTTATAATAGATTTGTATTAATGTATACCTAAAAGATGCGAATCTATGCAACAACACGTACGATTTTTATTACAATCTGTATGTGTTCTCTCTAGAGATAATAGTGAGCTATCTTTAGGAGGAGAATTAGGAGGAGTAGGTTTTGTTTGAATCTTTCTTGTTTTTATCTCCGAGATGTTTGTTTTTTGATACTCTTCAAGATATAACAGAAATTCGCGATACGTAACATAGTTCTGAAGCAAGAAACACGTAAAATAAGATAATGAATTGTTTTACATTTTCAGCTATTTTAAATATAATGATTATTTATAGAGAATTATAGTATTACTTATTAAAGTATAGTATATTACTTATTAAATAAAAGATGATGCTTGTTGCATTCATAAAACTTAAAAACTTACTTTGTCTTCTCCTGCCCAGTTGCGATTAGTCGGTTCGATAAGTCCAAGCAAATCGATCCAATGATAGTAATCTTCAGTTTGATTACCGTACCAATATTTTATAATAACAAACCTGTAAATTTTTATATTAATTAAAACATACTTATATTTTAATTTCACATTTTATAGCTCAATTTAAAGCTTTTTAAATTATAAAGTTCATACGCGAGACCATCATCCACCATTTTTTGCACTTCAGGATACGACATCAATTCCATAAATTCTGGATTTTCAGGATTTCTTTTGACATCTACTAACTGCCACGGAGCTATAAGTCCAAATCTAACACATTTCAATACTTCTAACATGTATTGTTTTCTTTCATTCCAATCGTGCATTAACCACCTTACGGCAGACATTAAAACTTCCATTTCGCTATGAGATGAAAAAAAAATTAGATGATTTAATGTGTTATACCATTTATTATTACAATTTATATTATCTCTTATGTAATTTTTTTAATAAACAATTTCTCATCAAGAAATAAAATTTTTAAGTATCAACATTTTAAAAATATTGGATTGTATAATTCTTTTATAAAATGTTCTCATACATAGAATACATTCAACAATATGCAATTATACCTATTGACGCAAATATAGTTAGATTTCAGTAGTAAGCACAATTCATCCATTGACAATTCCAAAAAATCCTTTGTGCTAACGAGCATCAAGAAAAATTTCATAATTCTCGGTACCATCAGTTCCATTACTGCAGTATTGCCAATTTTCTTTGCTTCCAAGTATAACAAAAAAGCAGTATCTTCGGAAAAGAGCTCGTCATTATCAATAAATGCCCAACATTGCTCTTCTAATTCTTTATGAAATACAATGCATTGTTTTCAATAACAAAAACTAATTTATTACTATTCTATATTATATACCTGAATGTTTAGTTCAATTTTTTTATTTCTATGTTTAAATAACAAAAATTTATTACGTTTCAAAATAAAAATTTGAGATATGAAATAAATTGGTTACCTTTGATGCCCAGATACTGTGCAGCCATAAAGATTTCTAAAATATTATCTCTTCGTAGAAGCTGGCAACTTTCGTTGATTGGACTTATCATCCAGTCATAAATAATAGAGAAAGCCTTGGAAGTCACGCTACTCTACATTTCGTGTACATAACAAATTACATTTTTAGAATTTAGAATTAATTATGTTATCTCTTATACGTCTTGTTTTAATATAAAGCTATTCATAAAGAAATGCCTCTATATGAAAATCTTCTAAAATTTGAGATAGCTATTTTTTTTTATTTCAAAAATATTTTTTTTTAATGTTTATTTGTAAATGTAATATTTGATTAAGTATAATTTAAGTAAAATCTTACCCCAGACAAATCAATATTCTTGCAATTTTTCTCGTCAAAAAATTTGCTGTAACTTTGCAGAACAAGGAGATGGCAATGAAATTCATCGTGATCAATTCGGACAACACAATCGGCATTCCTTGGTAGAACAAATAGAGAAAGACTTATTTTAATATAATTTAATTTTTAACAAACTGTTGCTGTACTATATATACGCTCAAAACATAGCGTACTATTACACAATTTAAATTGTGTTCTCTGCTAAATAAAATATAAGTTATTTATTTAAGACTTGCATTGATAAACAAAAAGCTCAATTTAAAAATTCTATTACTTAAGATTTTTTTTGTTACGTACTTATAATTTGTAATACGTATAGCTAATTCTTGATACAAGTCAGTCTTTTCTGGAAGAATTATATTACTCCAATTGATTGGTTGCTCATTTGTAAATCCCAACCTGTTTCCCAAAATAGAAAATAATAAGGATTAGAGTAAAGATAAACGTTATTTGTCATATAGTGTATCTCTATAAATTTTACATTTGTCTAATTTAAGAAAACTAACGAGGCAAGTGGTACTTCGTTCATTGGAGGAAGTTGATGGGATGTTGATTGTATCGAATGATTTTGTTCCATTTCTGATGAATAGAACTTTGTACTTGGTTGCAGCGTTCGTGATCTATAGTTTCCTTTGTTATATGGTAATTTCTTTTGTGCCTATATTGTAGAGATCAAGTAACATTTAGACTTCATGTCATAAGAATAAAAACTATTAAAAGACTTTAAGTTTCACCTGCAACTGATCAATTGTCGATGGCGTGATGCCAGGTGGAAGATTGATATATCTTGTTCGATTTGAAGAGTCAGAAATCGATGTACCAACGTCGACGCCCGATCGATTAAGCTCAGCCTTAACGTTGACTTTCGTGCGTCGCGGATCAGCAACTAAAACACTGAACTTCTTCGACTCGAATACAACCTAGAACGACTATGCTATGTCTGTTTCGAGACCGATATTTCTGGAAAGGTTGTATTACAGCATCTGTTAAAACGATGTCTTTCTTACCTGATTCGGAATAATCTTGAGATTACCACTAGGTGTAGCTTGGAAGGGAAACACACGATGACTCGTTTCGTTACCCTCATTCACGACAAATGCTGATTTTACGCTCGTGTCTTTGGGATGAATTTGTATCTGTTGCATCGGCAAGTCTAGATTTGAGCAAGGTATCGATTGCTTTCTATCTTTTGTATTTTCCACTTTCCTGCAAAATTGTATTATATCATTTATATTATTTGATTCTCTGTTATTTAATCGATCTATTTTCCAATTTATTTACTCTGGATGACGATAATCCATAGGTTTCGAAGCAACGATTTCAACAAGTGCAGAGCATTGTTTCTTCCAAGGTTCTTCTTGTTCGATATATTTACGTGATTCTTGATTCGTTGCGTGTTCGCTGATATCACAAGTTCTCGATTGCAGCCTAACAGGATCTTTGGAAAGCTTAGTTGTGCACTCCAAATCCTTATACTTGGAATTTATTCCTATCTGCCCTCTAAGTGGTGTCCACTGATGCTGTAGCGGAGATACAAATCGCTCTACTTGATTCGCGTGATAAATGTTTACATTCAAAGAAGGCTGTTGTCTTGATATACGGCGATATCTATTGAAAGTAGATTTTCGTCGACGTAGTGGATGATATCTCGGAGACAGGCTTTCCGGCGTTTCTATGATTTTTGCCCTTTTTAAACATATTTTTTACATAAAAATCACTAATATCGATGAAATATTTCGATTTATTTTTTTAGTAATAGTCTTTTAAATTTTATCCACTACAACGATATTGACTCATGCACTTACTTATCAGGTGATGCAGAACTTGTAACTTCTGATCGCGATATGTGCAATGTTTTTACTATTTGATCGGATTTCGAAAGTTGTACGAGAGCCTTCGAAGAGGATGATGCAGGAAAATTGAATTTACCGTGATAAAGCACGACAACGCTGCTTTTACTATTACCTGTGCAATGTTATCGATCAATTTACTCTCTCTCTCTCTCTCTCTCTC